TACCCTCAGAAACAACTTGCATTTTGGTCGCAGACCTCCCCTCCCGCCGACAGATGACATGTGTATTCAGGTGGCCTCAACTAGAGAGAGGCAAGTTCATGCTTCCGGCTCAAGTTCCCTTTGTCTGAACTTTAGAGCCTTACATCAGACCAAAACAATTTCGGGGACTGGAGATTTTTAAGGGAACGCCATTCGCAGTTCCATGACAAAGTCACTCTTAAAAAAGATCGGCCTTTTAAGACCAGGGACGGACCCCAGAGCCCGCTGGCCGGCAGGGTGGTCATGGGCACCCGTGCTGCAGCCAGGTGTCAGCGCTTCGTCCCGCGTGACCCCTGCACAGACGCTCGCATAGCCTCCCTCCACCACCGTCCCCACCAGAAGGTGCATTTGTTGCAATCACTCAACCTGCATCGACACACCACTGTCAGCCAGAGGCCACAGCTTACCCCAGCGTTCACGCTCCATGTTGCGCAGTCTGTGGGTTTGGATATGTATCCATCGTTACAATGTCATAGAGTAGTTTCACTGCCCTAAAAGCCCCCTGTGCTCTACCTGTGCGTATCCCCCAGCCCCACCCCGACGACCACCGATAGTTTCACTGTCTCCACAGTTTGCCTTTTCTAGAAAGTCACGCACACACGAAGTGTCCTTTTCAGCTTGGCTTCTTCCCCTTAGTGAAGTGCGTTTAATGTTCATCCGTGTCTCTTCGTGGCTTGACAGCTCGTTTCTTTTCAGAGCTGAATCTTGTCCCATCGTGAACAGTCCTCCACTGTCTGGATGCACCCGAGTTTATTTACCCCTCTACCTCCTCCATTCTCTTTCATTACTGACATACATGATTTTTTGATAGAGTGAAACTGGTCTGTGCTTTTTTGAGCTCAGATGTCCACATTAGCAAGTGTATTTACGACAATACTCATCCATTCTCAGTCTTACAAAACTCCATCCAAATTTCTCTCCTTGACCTAACCAGTTTGGCTGGTCAGTGATTCGATGAGGTTCTTTTGGTAAATGGGGGTGGTCCCCAGAGACAAGAGGAGGCGGGGGCCCCGTGTCCCTCTCCTACAAGACGGTCGCAGAGACAGCAAGTCTCCTCCCAAGTTCTGCCGAAGGGACAGACACTTGTCAGT